AGAGAGAGAGAGAGAGAGAGAGAGAGAGAGAGAGAGAGAGAGACTGTTTTACGGAGCTGGTTATTCCAGCACGTGAGACATGTATAATTACTAATGTCCTGTATTGTTGGCGTAGATCTATGCGTGAGTGCACCTAACCTTTGTAACGTCTACTGTCATTGTTAACGACCAAGACAAATTATTTCTCCCTGCCAGATGAATAAAGATTGTCATTGTCATTGAAATGTAGTTTTGTGGAGGAGAATCAAGGACCTTACTACTTGAGGAGAGCCAAACAAAGACCAACTGACCTTGAGATAAAAACGAAGAAGGTGACGATTGATTAGACACACACTTCATTAAGAAGCCAGCATATAACGGTGAAAGGTGGAGAGCCCTTCACGTCGACCTATACACAAGTACTTTACACTAAAGACCTTATCGTGTAACCTCCTTGCTTGTACCCAATACCAGGGTGTGTGTGTAAAGGTGTTGAGCAAAAAACCCCCCCAAAACCCAACAAAATTTCTACAAAATTTGCCAAATCGCCGGAAAAAAATACCGATGTCTTCGATGTCATCACTTTGACGAGCGCCTGATTTCACCACGATGCCTCACATATTGTTTGCTCCCCTGCCACTGTTGTTTTTGAGGTGGTGCAGAAATCTCTTCAATGACTTATTATATGTATATGCTGTTGAAAATGTTTCCTTGAAAATGTTGCACGTTAGAATTATTCTACTCATTGGTTTGTTATAGGCCTACTGTATACTGTTGACTTTCCTCTAAAATGAATAATATTATATATCAATAAAGAGGGCGATTTTACACTGATAAAAACACACACATACAATCTACTCTCGTATTCATTTTGAAGTTGAATTCAGAATCTGTTTTGATCTTAGAATGTGGTCACCGACAAAAGGAGCAACACACGCATTATTATTCGCTTCTTGGAAAGACAGTGCTTACCAAATTGGACGACATGAAATGTGACACTCTGATGAATGGTGTTGACAGATAATGGTCTCAAGAGAGAACTAGATCTATAGTCTTCTCGGGCAATATTGCCATCGGTATATCGAAATTTTAATTTTTAAAAGCGGTTTTGCCTTTCTGAATCATTTCTTTTTTCTTTATGTGTATGTGGTTTTGTTGAAATCTGAAGCATTAAATAATATAAAAT